CTAACAATCCTTTTATGTGGATGTCATATTGGCTATACATAGTTGAAGAGGGAAATGGAGTTCAAAGAGACTAAACAAGCAATGATTTTATCACTTAAATTGTTGTTAGTTTTTTCGTTTGTTTTTAATCTTCTCACCTCCCAATGTGCCTTCTTTACAGTCTGGAAATGAGTTACTACACAGCAGCCACAACTGGCAGAAAACTAGGTGCCTGAGAAGAGCAGTGATGTAGTGTCTCACCCTTTAGAAGGCAGGGAAGAGAGCCAGGTCCCTGGTAATTAGTCTAGTGAATAATTGCATTGAATACATTTCAAGTTATTCTTGGATGTGTCTCGGATTTTTTATGCTACACATTCTTATATAAATCAATAATTTATGCATAGGTGTTCAGATTATTTTGACAAAATAATGAAGTAATGAAGTGGGGGGAAAAAATCTCATGTGTCATGATTCTTGGCATTAATAGGTGTCATTTATAACATCACTAGAGGCCTTGTGCATGAAAATGCCCTCAGCCTGGCCTGCCCCCTCTCACAGTCTGGGGGTCCTCAGGGGCAGGAGGTGACCCGGCGATTAAGGGAAGGAGACACCCACCCCCATCACACCTCTGCTGCTGCCACTGCCAGCAGCACAAGTGTGGGCGGGCCCTGGTTCCCTGAGCCTTGGGCAACTCTGGGCAGCTAGGCTGCCGCCATCAGAGACTTGCCTGTGCCTTGGGCTGGCCATGGTCATCTGGGGATTTAGAGGGTTGGGGGACTCTGGAGGAAGGTGTGTAGAGTGGCCAGACCCTCCTCGGGGTGGGCCCAGCTGTGCCACGCTCCTGTTGCCCCAACGGGGACTGAGGGGACTGGATGACACCATCTTGTGGCTGTGAAGGTTGCCATATTTGAGGGTGTGACAGTCAATTAGCATATCCCCTCCTTATTGGCTATGGGTATAATAAGGCTGCTGTCTTTGTGAGAGTGTGAGGGTCAATTAGTATATTCCTCCTTTATTAGATAGGATTAGTATTATTAAAATTAAATATTTTAAATGTTACAGAAATGTGTAAGTTTCTCATAATTTTATCTCTCAAAGGTAATCACTGCTAATGTTTGGATGTATACTTCTCCAAATGTGTAAAATTCATATGATAACATGCATCATGAAAGCATTATTTACCCCCACATGAGATTATACTATTTACTATTTTGAGACTTGACTTTTCACATAAAAATATATCCTACAAGTGTGTGTGTGTGTGTGAGATTGTGTGTATGCGTGTGGTGTATCTCATTTCATTGAATGGCTTTTGTATTCATTGTAGGTAACTAAACATTTGGGGTTTTTTGTTTTTGTTTTTGTTTTTCTAATTTCTGGCTGTTAACAAACAATGTTATAATGAACATTCTTGTTATAATGAAAATATCTTTGGGCAACTGTGCAAGTGTTTTAGCAAAATTGATTCTTATGATTAGAATTTCTGAATTGAATAGCATAAACATTTTCTGTTTTAATAGAGTTTACTAAATTGCCTTTGAACAAGTTGTGCCAATTTACAATGATGTACTTGAGCAATATATGGCCACGCTTGGGCTCCCACAACTCAGTACACTGGGTTTTATCAATCTTTAAAAGGTGCTGATCTGATCCGTGAAAGTAAATACCATTGTTAACTGAATTTGCATTTGTTTGCTCATTATTAAAATTGAGCATCTTTTTTATATCTGGCTTTGGCCATGTGAAATTCCTTCTCTGAGAACTGTCTGTGTGTTTTACTCATTTTTTGCAATTCTTCTTCCTTACTTTGTAAAAGATCTCTGAATACTAGAGAAAGTAGCTGTTTGGCTATCAGTTCTGTATCTTCCAAATCTCAGTTGCCAATGTGATCTTTCTAGTGCCCAGATTTAATCATTTCCATTTGCTGCTGTGTATCTGTCAATTTGTTTGAGGATATAACCCAAACATTTCTATGTGATAAACAGTACAACAGTCTACTCTTTTATCCTTATTTTGTATTACTTTCATTCATTGCCTTCCCTCCAGTCGTAACAAAACTCCTGTGTTCCCCAAACAAGCCACACTCTTTCTACTCTGTGTGCTTCTACACCCTTCTCTCTGCCTGGACTGCCCTCCGCCATTTTAGAGGTCAGGTGTCATCTCCTTTGTGACGTCTACTTTAAGCCTCTGCTCCATTCAGCATCAGGTGTCCATCCTTCACCAGAATTCCATCTCTAGGACTCAGGATATACTAGACCAGTGGTCGGCAAACCGCAGCTCATGAGCTACATGAGGCTCTTTGGCCCTTGAGTGTGGCTCTTCCACAAAATACCACAGCCTGGGTGAGTCTATTTTGAAGAAGTGGCATTAGAAGAAGTTTAAGTTTAAAAAAAATTGACTCTCTCTGTTGACTAATGAGTTTGCCAACTACTGTACTACACTATTAAAATGACCTGTTCATTAACATCTCTTTTCCACTAAATAAGAAGCCCCCTCAGGATACCATCTATTTCTTTATTCCAAGAACTTATCATTGAATCTTTACATAATACACTCTTAATTCATGTTTGCTGAGCAAGTGAATCAAACAAAAGTGACACCAGCTAGGATTAATTTTATATCAGTCATCTGGTCAAATAGAGTTCAGTCTTAACTCTGGCCTTTTCCAGCTTCTAGAAGCCATCTGATTTCTTCAGGTAAGGGACCCCTTCATCTTTAAAAACAGCAATATAGCATCTTCCCTTCTCTCTGACCACTGCTCTTATCCTTACATTCTCATTCTCTCTCTCTCTCTCTCTCTCTCTCTCTCTCTCTCTCTCTCTCTCTCTCTCTCTCTCATTCTAACTCTTCTGCCTTTGCCTTATAAGGTTCTTTGTGATTGCATTGGGCCCACCAAGATAATCCAGGACAATTTCCCCATCTCAGAATAATTAACTTCCTCATATCTACAAAATTGTAAAGTGCCTTTAGGATATATACTCGCAAATTCCAGGAATTCAGATGTTAACATCTTGGTATTGGTGTTTAGGGGAGGTTTGGGTTGCAATATTATTCAATCTACCATGCCTCCTCTTAAAAGTTGTTCTGATATTGATATTAGTTTATCTTTCTATGGATCCCACAATATCTCAAATATGGAAATTTTTGGAACAACTTTGAAACTTGGGATTAATTTTTCTACCTTCACTGTTACTTTTTTGGTGGCAAAATTATGTATTTAATCTGATAGTCAGACTGACCTAAATCTGGTACTAGTACTTCCTTGGTTTCATCCTTTGTAAAGGAGAAGTGTATTGCTAGGTGGATAAGAACAGATGAAGGAGCAAGATTCCTCATTCCAACCTCTGCTCTAATAGCTATTAGTAAGAAATAGCACCAATTTCTCAGTTTCTTCATCTGGAACATAGAGATAATTATAATATTACTGAAACTGGTTTGGCTCAGTGGATAGAGTGTTGGCCTGAAAGGTCCCAGATTTGATTACAACCAAGGGCATGTACCTTGGTTGTGGGCACATCCTCAGTAGTGGGTGTGCAGGAGGCAGCTGATCAATGTTTCTCTCTCATCATTGTTTCTAACTCTCTATCCCTCTCCCTTCCTTTCTGTAAAAAAAATCAATAAAATATATTAAAAAAATAAATAATTATAATATTTACTACATACATTTCTTATATTAATAAGAGAACAAATATAAATTATTTAAAACAGTGCCCTACCTGGTTTGGCTCAGAGAATAGAGTGTTGGAAGGGTCCTAGGTTTGATTTCAGCCAAGGGCACATGACAGGGTTGTGGGTTCAAACCCCAAAAGGGGGAGTGCAAGAGGCAGCTGATCAATGATTCTCTCTCATCATTGATACTTCTACTCACTCTCCCTGTCCTTTCCTCTCTGAAATAAAATATATTTTAATTACTTAAAACAGTGGTTGGCATATAATCTTCACTCAAAACTGTTATTATTTCCCACTTGAGAGATTATTATAAGAGTTAAAGAGAGTAGAAAATGCCACACCACAATGCAGGGCACACAGTAAATTCTCAATACACTCTAGATTTCTTTTAAAGATTTTTTATAGATTTTTAGAGACAGGGGAAGGGAGAGGAAGAGAGAGAGAGAGAAAAAAACACTCATTAATGTGAGAGTGGAATATCAATTGGCAGCTTCCTTCCGGGGATTGAGCTTGCAACCTGGGTATGTGCCCTGACCAGAAATTGAACCATCAAACTTTTGGTGCATGGAGCAATGTCCAACCATCTGAGCAACACCAGCCAGGGCTACACTCTAGCTTTTTATTAATCATCATCTGTATTAAATACAACAGGTTGAAAATAGAGTGAAGCAGTGTGGAGTTTAGTGAAATGTATTTAATTTTGTGCCAATAATCTGAATTGTTTCAGGCTCTCTTATTCTTAAAATCAGTATGGTCACAGCGTTAAAAGATATGAAAGGTCAATAATGTTGTGACAGATGGATTTTACTAGTTTCTATGAGATAACTGCATGCCTTTAAATATTAGTGTTTTCAAATATATTAGTGTTTTCAAATATATTATCTCATGGGGCCTGGTTGTGACAATGTCAACTCCATGCAATATCTAGCAATCTAATGGCTATTTGATTATTTAGGTTTTTCTAGATTATTATCTTTATCCTTGTCATATAATAGCCTTTATGCCTTTATATCATAGGATAATCAGGTGTTCCTCATTTGCTTCCAAAGCAAATTGAGTCATTCCACTCAAATGTTTACAGTAAGTAGAATAGAAACTTATAGAATCATCTTCCTCTCTCATAAATGAAGCAACAGCAAAGTGGTAGAGCTTCTCAACTGTTTCAAGTTCCTCAAATAAGTTTTACTTTTGCAAAACAGACTTCTAACTTCCCACATTCCGTGAGCTGTGTTATAGTCAACATGACTTGCAGCCACGTTTGTTGTAATTTTTTAAATATGTGGAAAAAAAGAAAGATATCAACCATGTATTACCTTAACCAAGAGGCCAAATTATCTAACTTGTTTCTCCAGGCAAGCAGCACGACCACAGGGACAGCTCCCAGGAGCCAGTCAAGATTGTCTGTCTGTCCATCCACTCAGGACATTTGCAGGTAAGTGCTCATCAAATGATTCTACTCAACGTTTTTCAGACCAGTGTTTTGTATTCTTATTTTACATTCTGACTGTGTGGCTCTTGCTTCTGCCTTATGTAGGCCATGGATAATTTATACTGACTTAATTTTTTTTTCCTTTGGTGCATTTTCTTTATTTGATCTTTATTTACCAACTTCTGGTCCATGCTATCATTTTCATTATTCTCTCTCTGTTTTCCCATGGCTTTCTGTCCATTCCCATTTTCCATTCTTTGCCTATTGCTTTGTCTAGATCTGCCATCTTGCATAACATGTCAAAAGATGCTTTTGAGCAATGCAACCCTGTCATAGTGCTAAGCCCTGTTAGGAAGAAGTCTGGTAAGAAATCAGTAAAACAAAGGCCTACCAGGAGGAGAATGGTCTCTAAGAGATAAGAGAGTGCAGATGAACAAATAAAAGGGAGAAGAAATTATTTCCAATTCCAGATCTCAAGCCCCAGGTGGACTGAGCTTTGTGATTCCTCAGATTCATCTCACATAGATGAGAGTACTTGGGTGCAGGCAAAAAGAAGAGCCCAAATGAAATTCCAACTGTTGCAAAGAAGGAGAAATAATAATAAATCATGTGGAAGTTTGGATGGGTCTTCTGCTCCTAATGGAATTAATCTGGTAAATTAGGAATCCAAAGGTAACAAGCAACAAGAACTGAGTGAATGAGAGAGTTGCTCTTTAAACCTCTGCAGAAGAAAAAGCCCCTGAGACCAAGAGTGCAGTCTTTTCCTGCCTAGAGGACCCTATGAGATTAAGAGATCCTCAAGGCACCATGAAGAAAACAAAGGCAGATACCACCACAGGGATCTACAGTTCTTGCATAGTCTTAGGCAAAATGAGGCAATCAAGAAAAGATTTTCAGAAACAGATTCCAGCACTGAAATATTGGCAGTAACAGAAGGTGGCAAGTCTGAGTGATGCAGGGTTCCAGGTGAATGACTCCTGACTCCTGCCAGCTACCATGATGGGTCTGATAATTTAAAATTATGCAGGTCAGTCACTATAGAGTAAGAATTGATGCCATGCAAATGCTTTTCTTTCTACTGTGAGCTATGTGTGTGTTTGACACCTAGCCTTAATGCATAACATTTATTCATGCTGTTGTCTGGTGGATATAAGATGGTAAAATGAGAAAGGGTGCATCTGAGAAGAACAATAGAATTAGATTTCCCCTTTTTCCTCTTGTTAATTAAATAAGGTTCAGCCTAGTAAAGGGACTGACAAACCAGTTAGTCTTGAACCCATTCTAGTTAAGACAAGACTAATAGAGGGAATATGAGTGAGAGCATAGGAAGCCTTCGATTCTTCAGTGTAAATAGGAATGGACAGAAAGCCATGGAGGGGCAAGGGTGGTAGTGACAAGAACCGAGAGATGGAGAGAGGCATGCAAAACATGCTAAGGGATTTAAAGAGAAATGACTAACTATTAGCACCACAATAGGAAAAAATATTCAAGGAAAGGGGTTTTTTAAGTCGGGATTTTGTACCAGAAAAATCTCCTCCACAGTTGGTGCTAATTTGTTCTCTAAATGTTTGATTCAGTTGGGTAATTTAAGACTGAAAGGACACAGAAAGGACACAGGTCCTGGACATACCAGTGTGGGTTGCTGGAGTTTGCAGGGAAAGAGACCACACTGACTGTACTGAAAGGTCTCAAACATGCAGGCATTTCATAGCTGTAAAGCTGCTTTCTTGCACTTTTTACCCAACTGGACTACATTTTTGTAGCTTACTCACTTAAGCCTTCATTGTGCATCAGGTTTTATTCTAGGCTTGAAAATACCATAATGCCTGAGGTTTGCACAGTTTCTGACATCATAACTTACAGCCAGAGGAGGATAACAGACACAAAACTCTTTCAGAGTTATATATAATTATGACTGTGATGAGGAACATGATAACACAACAAGGAAGCTTTATATATTCTGGGAGATCAGAGAAGAACTTCCTTAAGGAAGTGACAAGCTGACCATGGCTCAAAGGCTGACAGGCATTGATCAAGGAAAGAACCCAAGGAGACCATCCAGGGAGAGTGCCACTATGAAGCCAGGATGAGGGAAGAAGTTTAGCAAGCCAGGGAGTTGAAAGCTGGCTGTCCTAGCCAGGGGTTGGGGAGTGACAAGAACTGAGAAATGGAGATAGGCATGCAAAACATGCTAAGGGATTTAAAGAGAAATAACATCATTTGACTTGTATGTTAATGAGAGTTTCTTGTAATCTTTTGAATATGATTTAAGTGTGGCTTGGCTAAAATGTTGGTGGATAGAATAAAACACTCTTTCCAGTCTAGACTAAGAGATCCCACTTGCAACCATCTGTTGCCATTTTCCCAAACCTTCTTCCAACATAATTTAATGAAAGACAGTCAGAGAAGCTGGTTGTAGGCTTAATGATAATTGGAGAAAAAAGTAATGTTTGCAATTAAAGTTGTAGTGGATGGTTCTCAACTTAAAAACACTTATCTGAAGGAACATTTTCAAAGACAGGATATTTCACTTAGATTTCTATTAATGAAAGTGAGATCAATGGGCCTATTTTCTTGCTGTGAGTTATCATCAAAATATACCTACTAAGCAAATACTAAGGACAGCATATTATACTAGATGCTGAGGCTAAAAAGTGACAAAAGACTTGATTCTTCCTGTAAGTGGCCTATTATCTATTAGGAGAAATTGAACACACACCTAAAAAGATGGAAGTTCAAAGCAGTTCAGGATGAATTTAAGAAGAGGAATACTGCAAGCATTTGAAGAAAGGAAACTTGCTGAGAGCTGGAACAATCTGGAAACCCCCTAAGAAGGGGGGTTATTGGGACTGAGAAAATAGAATTCAGTTTGGCAAAGATGTATGGATGGCATTCCAGGCACTCAGGGCCGGGGAAATACCATGAGCTCAGACTGGGATGCGGGAATGACTCCATGCACTTAAAAATGTTGTGTGACTTTTTGTGACTAGTTTGGAAGGTTTGCATAGATAGATGAAAACTAAACTTTTTAAAAGAGACATTATAAACAAAACATGCATATCCTTCCAAGGAGTTTAATTCTATTCTGGAGTCTTATTTTCAAACTGCCTCTTGGTGCCAAGGAGGCGGCTTGGAAAGTTGAGGACAGAGTTAGAGGATTGGATTGTACTTCCTTTAGCCCATCTTCAGCCAGAGAAGTTTCATGACAATCTCTCTTAGATAATGGGGTTCCACATCGTATTTCTTTAAGGAGAAAAGAAGGTTCCACTGCAAAAGATAATACAGCCTTTGCTAAGTAAAATAGGCTCAGTGAAGAACAGCATACACAGAGTAATCACAGTGCCCTGAGGGTGTCCTGGGAAGGGAGCCTAGATGTAGGAGAATGAGTTGGGATGAGGTAGAAGTATCCTTCTTTGAGATAACTAGGACTAGGATGATACAGGGTAATGAAAGGGGGATAACATTGGCATATTGGCATCCCACCAGGTGAGCAGGAGCAATCTAAATACTTGGCATTGGTAAGTGTGTAAGACAAAGGCACCAGTGATCACGCCAAATCTTGGAACTTAGGAGACAAGAAATGCTGATGATGATGGCAAAGGCAGAAGAGGTCAGAGGGAAGCTGGTTTGGGAAAGACATGATGAGTTCAATTACAGGCAGGCTATTTGTTATTGCAGTGACATTCCAGGGTCAGCTGTCCAGCAGACCGTATGAGACATGTCACTGAAACACAGGAGAGCAGTCAGGGCTGGATCAGTGTATTTGTTCAAGAATGAGTGAACTATACACAGACCAACACTAAACAATTACATTTTTGCAATTGACATTAATATGATATATTAGCACAGGGAAATAGCACAAAGATATTCAAAATGAAAATATAATTATGGTCATAGAGGACATATAGATTATCAGGGAGGTGACCTTAAGGCCAGGAAAGTGAATGAAATCTCTAAATGAGGTCATATTTAGTCGGGGGAAAACCTCTAGATGGACACAGCCTGAGCACCAGGGTCCCTGTGAAGGGGAGAAAGATGACCCTGAGGGAAGCAGAAATGGCCTTGAACTTGCAGTCCAGTTTCAGAAATGCATAGGCAGGACCAGTCTCAGCCACAACCGCAAAGCAGAAGCTTCCGAGCCCTTCCTCCTTCTCTGTTCTGAGCACTGAGTCCCCACGTGGACACTATGCTCCTACCCACCTCATCAAAGCCTTATTTAGGGAAAGTTTCTCTTAGCCAGTTATAACTTGCAGGAAATTTAAATCATCACAGTTATGCAATGAGAGAAGCTTTTCCTTTTTTTTTTTTTTTAAATATATTTTACTGATATTTTACAGAGAGGAGAAGAGAGGGATAGAGAGCTAGAAATGTCGATGAGAGAGAAACATCGACCAGCTGCCTCCTGCACACTCCCTACCGGGGATGTGCCCGCAACCAATGTACATGCCCTTGACCGGAATCGAACCTGGGACCCTTCAGTCCGCAGACCGACGCTCTACCACTGAGCCAAACCAGTTTCAGCAGCTTTTCCTTTTTTAATAGAAAAATTTACATTTAGAAAAAAAACCTGAATTAGCTCATGTTAGCTCATGCTTGAAACTTTTTAACGGCCTCTTAATAGCCCTCAGTGGCAAGTTCAAAATCTTTAATATACTTTACAAGTCCTGCATGATCTGTCAATCAGATCTGCCTCCCGAGCTTCAATACCCATCATTGACAGTGGCCTATTCATGCTGGCCTGTCTTCAATTCCCTGAAAGTGGCCAGACCTGTCTCTTTCAGGCCTAGAAAGAGACATTATCCCCTCTGCCCTTCACCAGACTAACTCCTAGTCATCTTTTTCTGATTTAAGTGTCATTTCTTTAAGGATGCCTTCACGATGCTCTAACCAATATTCAGGTCACCTGGGAGTCAATTTCAGGACATAACTTTAAATTGCTAATGTATAGATAGTTTTGTAATCGACTGTATCAGATTTGTTCACAGCAATATTCACAGTGCCTG